GGGGGACCAGCCAAGAGTATTGCTCTTCCTGCTAATTTTTTAGTTTTGATCATCTCTACAATAACCCCAGCACTCTGTAACATGAAACAACATAAATAWTATTAGAATAACATTACAAAGACACTAACAGGATATCCTAAGGATTGGTGAGATGGGTTTGCTGAAGTTTCTTCTATTAACTTTTTTGGGGGAGGGGTAGAGTAATCAAATGTTCCAGAGCACACTACATATCAGCTTCAAATAAAAACATTAAAAATAATWAGAAACGAGATTTATTGCATAAAATATAGCTTATAAAACACTGTCCGCGACTWAATTYAAGATCTTAGTYATTTAAGTCTTAYAAAGTAAGTTTATATTAAACATCGACATGTCGAGTGCCCAGACATGTCAAAAATATAGAAAATCGTAAAATATRATAAATTTCTAAATYTTAGTCYGACAARARCTKAYCAGYTATCRATTATTACGCGTTATCWTTCACACTTAATGCAGATATATACYRATAATYCGTTTTATAGACGKTTTTGAGTACTTTTATTTGGTATCCATGGACTGACTAACTCACCTCACGTGCATTCTCTTGTCCAACCAAWCCCGACGCCATTGACAAAGCGAAGCCATTTTCGTCCAGCCCAAGGCCTTTAATATGRCTATGTACAGCTATACGTTGTGTTTTAGTCGTACTTTTAACTTCTTCTATTTTCATTTTGCCGTAATTTGTACAGAAAGTTTTCAACTGTGTTCTTGTCAACTGGTCAATATGGCGGACAGGCTAGGTTACTCAGTATCGGTGACTGTAACATGGTTCGATTACCGGCAATGGCGCGAAAATCCCATAGTCCCAGCCTATGTTTTGCTCAAATCTCAATCCCATTCCATTTTTGATTGTTTTTTGTTTTTTGAAGTGCATAAAATCCCATTTTCCCAGACCAAAAGAAGCTAATACCATCTCCTATTTTACCCCTTTTGACCCTCAATTTAAATTAACTAAATTAGATAAGATATTTACTATTTTAGAACTAAATATTGGTTATCTAAGTTAGATAGATTTATATAACTATTAAACAGTGAGACTAAATGCACTCTAATTCAAAAAAGCTTTTATGCAGGCTAACATAGTTCAGAACTGGACCTACTTTTCACACTTTAGCCCGCATCAGAGCGATCAGAACACATGCAAACAGAAATAAAAACTAGATCCAATTCTGGACTAAAACTTAAGCTAACCAGTAAAACGAAAACGTGTGAATATGTTTTTTGATCCTATGAACATTTAGTTCATCAATTTCCCCATAGAATCAAAAAATACATTCACACGTTTTCGTTTAATCCGATTACCCTTAGTCCAGACCTGGACCCTGACTTTTATTGGCTGACGAGGGAATTCAACGTTGAATTTCAAGAGAAAACAGATATCATACTAATCACGAAGATAAGATCTTTACGATCGACAGCTATCTGTAGTGCACTGACCTGCCTCGTGTTCCCATAAACCCACGGAACCATAAAGCTTTCATTTATGAGAGGCTAGTCAGTCGCTGGTCAGTGCAGAACATATTAAGCGATTATTATTTATTTAATCATTATTAGCACAATTATTATTATCTTATTTGCACATATTTATTTATTTAATTTATCTTGCACTTGCACTGGATTTTGCTACATGTCCTTTTGGATTTTGCAAATAAATTATGTAGATGTAGATGTAGAACAATTTTATAGTTTTTCAAGTCCGTCACCATATTTCTATTCATAGAATAGTTCATTGAAGCCCAGGGACTGATGATCTTATCAAACTCCGCCCTTAGGATGGAGACGCCATTTTCAAGGATAACTTTAGAAACTACAATGTCATCAACGTTCTTCCAAAAGGATCAACGCGCGCGAATTTAATTGTAGATCATTTATCATCAAAGGGGCGAATCCAGGATTCCATTCTTTAAAGRGGTTGACTGCTACAAAGTAACTAGGTCTCGCGCCAAAAAAAAAAAAAAAAAATCTAGGTCTCGCGC